ACCAAGCCTTCCCGCTCACGATCTTCGACTGGGCAAGCAGAAAGTTGACACGTATGTGCCGAAGTTCTCTGTCGGCGGAGGCCCAAGCTGCGACCATCGCAGTGGACGAGCTGGAATGGGCTAAGGTGTTCTTCGCAACAGCTGTCAATGCCTACCTGGCGATCCAAGAGGATGAGACGATGCATGTCTTCGGTGAATCCCCTGTCATCACGGACGCCAAAGCCCTTTTTGACAGCACGATTTCAGTGACACCAGGACTCAAACTTTCGGAGAGGAGAACAGCAATTGAGATAAGCATCCTCAGGGAGCGAATGGCAGCCGCACAATGCAAGGTGAAGTGGGTCAACTCCAAGCAGCAACTAGCAGACGGCCTGACCAAGCCGACGGCCAAAGATGAGCTGGCCTATGTGCTTTCACGAGGAGTTCATGCATTGAAGCACGATCCTCACTTCACGGCTGCGAAGAAAGTCACTTCGGAAGCTCGAGAGATTGAAGAGAAGGAGTATGAGCGAGCCGCTGAGGAGCTGTTCGAAGGACAAGCATTCGTTGTTGAGGATGCCAAAAGCAAAGAGGAGAAAGGACTCTGCCGCTTGCCAGGCTGTGCGAAGATGAAGGACAGTTCGCAAGCTCGGAATGCCTACTGCTGCCGGAGACACTACTATCTGCACCAGTTCCGCATGGGCAATGGTGGTGATGAGTGGAGAAAAGCAGCGACGTGTGCAATATCGCTGTTGGCCGCTGAGAGCATCCCAGAAGTCGAAGCAAGCGGAGAAAACGAAGACGAAGACCATCGCATTTTCAGCACACTGCTAGTGATTTTCCTGTTTTCACTGGTGGGAATGTGTGGCACGATTTGGATCGTGAAGGACATGGTGTGCACGATGGGCAACAAGGTCAAGGAGATCTTTGTTCGAAAGTTTGTGAGCTCCCCACCGAATAAGGAAGTGATTGAGAATGCCGTTCAAACGAAGAGCCATGGAGAGACGGAGAATGACATCCTAAGCCATGGCGTTGGTCTTCAAGTTCCAGATCCCGAAGAGGATGATGGACTGGAGTCGGAAGAAGAAGAAGCAGTGGAATGGAGCGACAGTGAAGAGCTGAGATGGAAGCGCCTTTTCGAGGAGGTGAACAAGGAAGAAGGTCAACGTGATTGGATGGTGGCTTCAAAGGAGAAGCTGTGGACCACTGAGGTGTCAGCTCATATGAGGGGACACGTCGTCCATCACTCCTTGCCCAAAGTGAGATGCAAGGAGTACATGAGATTGACCCTGCGAAAGAGAAGCAGCCAGGTGAGTGACGAAGAGGTCAAACAGTGGCATCGTTTCTTGAATGACCACTTCACGATGTTGATCGATCTTCACCGTGGCTTTCGCAAGAAAGAGGCGCAGATGGCCATGATGCAGGACGAAATGATGATGAGCCCACACCGAAAAGAGAGAAAGAAGTTCGAGAACAATGAAGTGCAAGACAAGACCCAGCAGACCTGCCTGACCTTCGACAACCACACGGGAGAGATGAATTCCCTACCAAGCCAAAGGCATGGCGCCTGGCTTCATGTGAGTTGCTTTGAGAGCAGGGTGTGAGAGAAAGGAGAAGGGGCCTGAGAATTTTAATTTTCCATGGATGGGGTGCTGAATTTCATTTAACAGCTTTTGCCCTGTCTTCTTGAACGCTTCGCATTCAGCATTTCATGCATTACATGTGCATGTGCTTGTCGGATTTCTCACTTTCATGTCCCGTGACCATCAGGGCCCTTGAGTACAGGAGGTTACGACCCCGAAACGAAGCGTTGAAACAGGTGCGGAACTCGTTCGCCGTTCTACCTGAACAAGCAGATAACCCAATTTTGCGCTGGGTTTATTTCCTTGATCATAATGATTGGTCGATCACTGATCACCGCAGCTTTGGGCACGGACCGAACATAAGAAAAGGCGGTTGAGCTGGTCCAAGCCTCGATGCAATGAGACAACTTGGTCCAGTCCAATAAAACAACTTGGAGTTTTGGATCAACAGACCCCATGTTGCACGGCAAATCTTTCAAGGTCAAAAAACATTAGCGATACACAAGAAAATAACCGCCCAAAAATGCCCAACCAATGCTGCAGTCTTTTGTGTTTGGTTTGTAATGTTCTCGTCATTGTATAACTAATTTAATCTAATTTAGTACAAAAGGCAGTCACCATCGCAAATGCTCAAGTGCGAACATTCCAAGGGGCATAGCTGGCCAGCTGTCACACTCAGAGACGCAATTGCAGCGAATGGATGGCAATGAGGACACGGTCAAACCGCGACTTAAAGAATTGAAATGGACCCGCGGCTAGTGATGTTTGGAACCGCGACTCAAACCTTGGCTCCTGCAACTCATTAAGCACACAAACGAGAGTACACACATGACAGCGTGATACAGCGTGTGTCACACAAGAGATCACAAGAGCACACATACTTGTGGCGAAAGCTAGGGGACGAACCTGCTTTTTGGCAGCAAAGCCCAGGCTGGGAGTCGCAACATATCATGGTGGACAGCAAAGGAGGAGAGTGCCAACAGTACACCCCCCCAAAATAACCCCAGCACAGGAACGACACAGCCACCCCAGCAACAGCAGCAGCAGCAACAACCAGCAGCAGCAGCAGCAGCAGCCAGCAGCCAGCAGCCAGCAGCCAGCAGCAGCAGCAGCAAGCAGCAAGCAGCAACCAGCAGCAGTAGCAGCAACCAGCAACCTGCAGCAGCAACAGCAGCAGCAAAACAGCAAAACAGCACCAACCTGCGGCAGGAAGCGGCAGCAGCAGCAGCAAATGCACGACTGACCAACACCGACAGGCACAACAAACAGGCAGTGAGCGATCACAGCTGGGGTCTCAACAATATGTTTTCTGTTGGTGTGAACCGCTGTTTCAGTGTAAACAGTGATTTGGTGTAAACCGTGGTGGGGTGTAGACCGTGGTTGGTGTAGACGGTGGCTGGCGTAAACCGTGGTTGGTGCAAACCGTGCTTTGGTGTAAACCGTGGTTAGTGTAGACCGTGGTTTGGTGTAAACCGTCGTTTGGTGTAAAGCGTGGCTTGGTGTAAACGGTGTTTGGTGTAGACCGCGGCGCAGTGTAACACGGTTGGCGTAAACCGAGGTTTGGCACAAACCGTGATTTGGTGTAAACCAAGACTGGTGTAGGTGTAAACGGTGGTTTGGTGTGAACCGTGGTTGGCGCAAACCGAGCAGCAGCAGCAGCAGCAGTAGCAAATCACCCAGCAGCAGCAGCAGCAGCAGACAAACAGCAAGCAGCAAGCAGCAGCCAGCAACGAAGCAGCAGCAAAGAAACATAGAATAGAAACATCAGCAGCGGCAAAGAAGCAGCAACAGCAGCAGCGGCCACGTTGGGAACTGAGAAACGGTCAGGGGGGAGGGGGGAGTTGAACCCACGGAGGGGGGGGGTATATCCTTGCGTAGGTCCGTAGGTTCCCACCCACGGACTCCAGTTAGCTACAACTAACTTTCGCGATGAGAGGATGTACGAAACCACGGCGCGCATATTCCAAAAAGATTTGTCACACTTGTCACTAATCTAGATGTCAGGACATGGCTCGGCTGCGTGGCAATAGGACAGTGACCGCAGCAGGGACTGGTAATTTGATGTCATTTGGTTGTCAAGGCTTCAAGATCTGTAACAAAACTTCAATCAGCGCGCAGGCGCCAGCATCCGGCGGCGAAGCCTTAAGGAACCCTTTGCTTTCTGTTTTTGGATGGGAAGAAACCAATGCAGGAGACAAATGTCGCAACAACCCTCAAGAAGAACGCTAAACAAATCCGTTTGCGACAATGCGGGGGCACTTGCACTTGCAAAATATTCAGAAAATGCCCGCGTTACAAAAAGTTCAATGTCCATGACAACTTTTTGGCAGCGCGTGGAATACAATCTAAACGCGAAATGGCCTTAGTGCTGGGGTCTTCGGACACACAACGAATTTTAGTTTGCATCATCATCTGGATGCCTGTCATGCTACATGTGTATATAAACCTTTTGAAACCGCTTCAAGTCAACATATTCAGTAGCGACATATAGTGACCGCGGTTGCAGCAAGTTCAAGAACTTCAAAAGAGCATAGTATACTTGGACAAGGAGTGGGAAGGTTCCACAAGTCGGGCAAGCGACAGCTTAAGTACGGGCATGTCTGTCGAGTTTGAATCTGTTTTTTGAGCCCTCGGCAAGCAAACGAGCGATTGGCGCCGGTCCAATTCTGATAATTCTGGGCGCCATGCTTTTTCGAGGTCGGAAGCCTCGCAAGCGTTTCAACATACAACGCTTGCTACTGAAACGTGGTTTTGCTGGCAATTGGCAAACACACGAAGGGCAAAAGTACTTTGCACCCGAAGGTATTTTGCAGCAGCGGCGTGACTAAAACATACTGCGCTGATCAGTAGGAAAACATTTATTTGATGTGACTCGAAATACATCGGCGCCCGCAAAAGGGGAAGAGACAGGGCGAGAATCTGAAAAACAGGACGTCAAACTAGAGGGGCCTAGCTTTCTAGGATATAAATCGCAATGGCTGCAATGGGCTTTCCTTGCCAGCCCAAACCGGACAAACAGAAACACTTGCACACTCTGTCAAAAAACCACTAGCTTGGAGAAGAACAAGATTGAAAACGTATGCGCCAAGTTCAGCCTTCTTTTGAAACAGCGCCTGGATTCAAACCCTTAAATTGGCCAGAAGGCCAGAACAGGCTGCAGAACACAGCCATGGACCATGTTCAAAGATCATGTGATCTACTGCGCGTACTCATCCGAGCTGGGCAGCACCTTCTGCAAGAGCATGTCCGACCAGGAATACAAGGTATTACAACGTGGGCGTTGCCTTGCGCGAGAAGAACCAGTGGGTTGCGTTCCCTTCCTCAAAGGTCGCCTGCGCAGCCTGCTTGCAGCGGTCTGTTCTGCGTTCTCCACAACATGCGCGGCTTCTTCGCAACACGTCTGAGCAGCTTCTAGTCGCACCCCCTCACGCATTTATGCTAGCCCAGCCGAAGTGCCACGCAGACCTTAACGGCGCCGGAGCTCGCGTCCAGGAAAGCGCTCCATATCATATCCGGATCCAACTCTTCTTGCTCTTCTTTTCCACGGCCCAGGCGGCGCACCAGAAACTCGTTGTGAACAGCTGGTCTTCAAGCGCCGTGACTTTGCGCTGCGTTTTGAACCAGACGTTCTTCCCCCGAGTTTCCTTGGCCTTTTGAAAATTCTCTGCCCCTTACATCACGTGGGATTCGTGAAGCGATCATTTGCGTTTCAATCAAATGATGGCTGCAGTGTCCCTCGTGAGCAACCTTACACATCGCCGCAGCAGTTTCCGCTAGCAACTCAGCAGCCGCTGCAATGTAGTTCCCAGCAGGCAGCCGTTGCGCCGTTTCCAGCAGATCGCTGGGACGAGGCGGCGCCGCCGAGAAGGGACGGGCCCGCCCACACGCCTCGGGCCGGGGCGGCGTGTCCACGACGGGCTAGGCCTTATCACGCCCCGTTCACGGGCTCCACAGGTATGGTTGTGAGGGGCTGTAATGGCTGCAATTGTTCCGGCGCTTTTCTCCTTGTATATTTGCCCTAGTTTTTCTTGTGTCCACGTTGTCATATAGCAAAGGCTCCGCGAAGGATGGGGGAGGTAGTTGTCTTTCTGCGCTGTGGGCCAGGGCGCGCCATGGCTGCGACCGTTATAGTTTATTTAGGTTTAAGATAGGCGTGGAATGATTCGTTATAACCATAGTACGACATGCAGTACGACATGCATGGGACACATGGTACGACAACACACAGGTTGGTACGACACATGGCGCGACAACAAGACAGGTTGGTACGACGCACTCAGACAGGTTGGTACGACGCATGGCGCGACAACAAAACATGTTGGTACGACACGTGATGTCACATGGGTACAATACACAATGCACTGATAATATGATTGGTGCATTACAATTCGCTATGCTTGCAATATCTTGCAATGCTTTTATATAAATTGTGACACTATGTGTTTCACAGATCTCGGAAAGCTTTCAATTCTTGCGCTTGCATTCACTTGTTTTCACTCACATAGCAGGAAGTCTGTCGGGGTCTCTAGCTGTGCTATGAGACACAAAGGCTCAAGGCTTGAATGGTTCATCAAGCCCCCGCAAATGCCCTTAAATCAGTGCCACTTGAGCCTTAGATGAAATGGTATCTCCAAACACCCGTTTGTATTGCGAAAGCACATCGCAAACATATGTAACGTGATGTAACATAGTTAAACATAATTTGACATCATGTCATATTATATTATGAATCATCATCACATAATTCATATTAAATAAATCATATCATGTGACTCATATGAAACTGTTCAGTGGACTTGTTAGGTCAGAGTCGACTAGTTTAGCACCAAGAAACTGTTCCAAGAGGTGGTCTACATTCGTCAGGGTAGCCATCTCTTTGTCGGACATGTAGCGTAATGAAGAAATGATCGCTATCATGATACCGCTCACAATGGTCGTTGGGAAACTTGGTCGGACAGCAACAACTAGTACTAAAACTAGACTAGAATTAGAACCCAGCAACACATGACAATAGCATTCTGACAGGCTCCAACATGAGCAATTCCACTCTGTTTAAAAACAAAAAACATGTGTCGCATAAGAGAAACAAAAACCAAAACTAACACAAAACAAAGGCCAACAAAGCCCCTGACGCATTCCCGGCCAAATCCTGCATTTGATTGTTGCTCAGATTCACGCGCTTCTGGTAGCGGATTCCCTGAAGAGCAAGTTGCTCGCGGCCAAGGTGAAGACGTGACTTTTCCACATCCCGCACGGTGCCGGAAGGTAGTATCGTCGGCACCACCTCAAGTAATTTGACACTGAAGAACCGTTGGTTCAAACTCAAATCGTTTCATTCAGTGAGATAGATGAATGATGTACCGACAAGATTTGAAATTGAATTGGATGACATAAAATATGGCGATAATATATAATACAGCGATACTGGCGATATCATTACCTTCAGTTTGTTTTCTTTCGACAGGGAACCTCAAACGTGCTCACAGGTGTGCGATTGGCGGAATGGTAGAGGTCAGCAAACCTGTATGGATTCTCACGCCGCTCGATACGGCCACTGTTTGCGGCGATTACAAAGCCCAGCGCCTGCAACTGTACAAGACAAGACTGACACAATGTTTTAGATATGTAACATAGACATAGAGTAGGCGAGCGCAAAAGGTTCACATTCCTAAGTTAGAGCTCATTCATAATGGATGAGCCTCTTGTTCGCGCAATGGTAGAGTCTGGAACCAATCATTTGATCGAAGCTCTGGAGGCACTTTGATTGGCCAAGTCATGTTTCCTTGACACAGCACAGAATACACTTGCCTATCCATCAAAAAACATAATGAATAAAATATACAAGTTGACAGAAACTGACATCGAATGAGTCCATAGAAAGAAGTTCGATTGAATGACCACAGGAAACAACTCAGGTCAGTTCGGTTTGCTGCAATAGACATATGCAACTCTTTCCATTTCTCCCCCTTTTTTGACACAAGTGGGTCTGTGTCGTCCATTGCTTCCTCGGCCTCATGCTTCTTTGCTTCACGATTGGCTGCAACTTGGGTCCTTCGATCACGCTCTGCGTCCACTTCAGGATCATCGTCAGCCAACAAGAAAGCATCCTCAGAAGCGATTGAAAAGCAGGAAGTCGACAACACATTATGTCATACAGTATGTCCTGAGTCCTGACAGTACAGTGTGTATGTATGTATGTAACTGTATGTATGTATGTATGTATGTATGCATGTATGTATGTATAGTATGTATGTCTGTCACAGTATGTCAATAGAGTTGAACGAGGCTATGTATTTCTGCTGCAATCATTCGCAAACAAAATTTAGGGCGAGGAACCACAGGTGGGTTCTCAACTTTCATAGCCGGGAGGAAGGTGTTGATAACAGAATGCAACATCTGCTCTGGAGTATCAAGCAACTCTTCCATCGCTCGGTCATTGTTGATCCCGATTATGAACAATCGCTTTCGGCGCTGTGGAAGACCAAACTGGTCAGCCCTGAGAAGAATCAGACCTTGCATTGCATCTTGACCAGCCACACACGCACACACTGACTCACATATGCAAGTTTTGTCAACACAATTTGCGATTGGTTAGGCTAAGACGTGGACAAGAAATTCTCTATGATTCAATCAATATTTTAAAGTTTGTTCCATAGTGCAAACATATAGTTTAGCATTTAGTCTTTAGTGGACTTTAACTTTACACCCAAACCATGCACAAAGCAAGCGGCGTGTCGTGTACCCAACGCTCGCGAGCTGTTCGGAAACCATAGCTGAATTGCTATCTGCGCCTTCGTCGCTCCCAAGATCTACATTCTCTAGAATGACCCACAAAGGAGATGACAGGCTGAGCACATCAAGGTTTCCAGCAAATGTCTTGAAGCTGGAACTTTCCTGCAATGACAACACATACACAGACTACTGAATGACGAGTTAGTCTAGCCCAGGCCAGTCAACTTAACATGTCCTGATCGCGGTTGGCCAGAGCTTTCTTCAATGATTGTGCATTTTGCAACTTTGACAATGACTTGCACGAAAAGCCACTGGTAAATCCAAATAGCTTCTTGGGAAGCTCCTTAGATCAGAACATATTCATATGTTATCTTCAATTAACCTTTGCGTTGCTGTTCTAGCTAGGTTGCTGCTATGACTATATCGACGATAGTGGTTCACATCAATGTGTCAAGTTCGAACAATAGACACAAAACCCTGTCTATGGTATATGACAAACAGTTATAGTTATAGACATAGACATAGACGATATGATATAATAGAGTCTATATACTTGAGACTGTGTTTGATCTAAACAAACAATGTCAAGTCTCACACTTGTTCCGATGTCGAACACAAGTTCGCTCTTCATCCGTCTTCAACTGTGTAACATCACTGAAAAGGCAGCAATCTCCAGGCAGGACATTCAGGAGCAAGCCCTGCTTGTACTTTTCGATTTCGCATGCTATTTCATGGTGAACCTGCGAGCGCACGCAACACGATTCACACACTCACATTTAGTCATTTCAACCAAAAGTCAGAGCCGTGCGTTGTCATAAAGTCAAAAAAATATCAAATCTTAAATTGAAGCTATTGAACTTACAACAGCCCACTACTGCAAACCTGCCTCGAATGTTGTTCCGGTCTTGTCGCTCAATGCATCGTTCAATGCATTGCAAACAGCATCTGACACAAGCTCAAATGCACCTGTCCCTGTGCATGTTGACCCCAAAGTCCAAGCTGTTGGCAGATTTGAAAGTCGCTGAGACGTTCCATCAATCTCCATAGCCTTCTTGAGTTGGACCTGCAGGTGATGTACATAGTTACATAGTCCCATAGTTCATAGTCAAGACTCAAGAAGAGATGCTATGGCTATAGCGCATCAACGTTTGACAAGAATATGTTATACAACAATTTTAGATGTCAGGTGGTTTGTGGTTTCGTGAGCAATGACTCTGGCTATGACTTGACATGGACCATAACTGATACATAAAGGCTGGCCTCGGCCACATATGCCAGATAGTTGTCCATAATCAGTTCAGTATACATTGGAGAGGCCACACTGTCCTCCAACAGCTTATCTACAGTTTGCAAAAAAGAGCGAACTGATTGTTGACTACAAGACTGCATCCACATGCAATATATCATTGGACCATGGACCATAGATTTAAAATCATAAGCATTGCTCAGACTGAAGCCTAAGGCCGAAGGTCCAGTGCTGGAAAGTGAAGTCTGGAAAGCTAAAAAAAGTAATTGAAACAGTAATACCATGTGCTTGCCTTAGCATGGTCCGATTCAGCAGCATCCATCTCCATGTTTGCATCCTCATCCTGGTCCTGGTCCCTATGAGATTCTGCGTCACTGTCACTCCGCGTGATCCTGTTGAGTCTCCTCCGGAACTCATGCACAACACTCACAACACAGCTAATAGGTGGCTCGCCCTTCTCTCGGACAAAGTCATCAAACTCACATACATGATCGACTGCTTTCCCCTGACTACGGTCTCCGAAAGATGACTCTGTCAATTGCTTGTGGGCAAGAAATTCTGCAAACAAACTGTGCTGTTTGCATTTGGTGATGAGGGTGTCAATGTAGTGTGGCATATCACCGGTTCTTGCTGGTGACGCTTCTGCCTCAGCAATGGCTGTGGCCACCTGGCTGGGATTGGTCTCTGGTGGCATTGTTTCCTTCTCAGGTGAGATGGTATTATTTGTTTGCATGATCTCCGCTGGTTTGGAATCTGCATCTTGCTTGGACATGGTTTCAGCTGAATCCACATGTGCTGGGAGGAGAGCTGGGCTAGGTGGTGCTGTGCTAGCTGGCGCTGGGCAAGCTGGCACTGGGCTAGCTGGTGCTGGTGCCACAGTTTCAGCAGCATGTGGACATGAAGCTGATGTAGCAGCTGAAACTGATGTTGGTGCCATGGTTTCAGCAGCATGTGTACATGAAACTGATGGAGCAGGAGGAGCTGGTGCTTCACCTGCAGCTGATGCCTTTGCCTTTGTTTCACTGATAGCAATCATGTCTCGTGCATGCGCTGATGTTCTGCGCCAGATCTCTAACGGAAACATGTTCTCCTGCGGGTTTGCAGGAAGAAGAGAGCCATCTGCTGCAAATGTAAGACAAAGGTCACCTGCGATGCAAACAAGGCTGGTCAAATCTTCTTCAGCAATCGCACACCACAGATCTCGCTCCCAATCAAACTTATATTTCTGCACATGCACCAAACCATCTGTCTCACAACGCTGAGACAGAGGAATGGCTGGGACTGGTTCAGCTTGCTGGGAACTGGTAGCTGTATCGGCCGTAGCTGCTTCTGGCTCTGTTTTTGCTGGTGTGGAAGCCAAAGTGGGATCCATGGTAGCACATGGCTCTGTCCATTCCGGCGCTCGATCAACCTCAGAAAGATGGTCATCATCATTCATCATTTGGTCCACCGCATGTGTCAAAGCTTCTTCAAAATTCATGTCATCGGTAGAGCCAGAGCTCATGGTTGGTGCTTCTGCTGAGGCTGTCACATGGGTTGCATCTGGTACATATGGCTTGGGAACGGGTGGATGTTCCAACTTTGGCTTTGGTGCAAAGTAGTTTGTCACACTTTGCTGATTTGGCGGCGGAGGCTTGTCAAAAGGATTTGACATTTCCCTTCCTAGCTTTCGCTTCTTTAGAGGTGGAGGCGATTTGATGGCTAATGCCTTTGGTGATGGTACACCAGATGCGGCTGAGACTAATGCCATGCTCATGGCTGCTTCTGGAGCACCAGCTTTGGCTATGGCTATGGCTGATTCTGGAGCACTGGCTTTGGCCGTGGGTGGTTCCGGAGCACTGGCTTTGGCCGTGGGTGGTTCCGGAGCACTGGCTTTGGCCATAGCTGGTTCTGGCTGTAGCTGTGCTGGCGGAGCTGGTACTGGATCACAAGCGGCTTTGGCCTTGGCGTTAGCCTTCGGTAAGGTTGGTTCTGCTTTGGCCTTGGGGGGAGCTTTGGCTTTAGGCGGTGCCTTAGCTTTAGGCTTCGTTCTGGGTGGTGTCTTGGATGCCTTGCTCTTGGTGTCGGCTTTTGTTCTGGCCATTGTCACAAGTCAATTGCTGCAAGAAATGCAATGTGTTCCACACTGCAGGCGGCAGTCTTCTCCTTTCTGACCTACCTTGAACAGTCCTTGAACCGACAGAACGTAACTATAATATGACACAACGCGCTTTGAAATAGCTTGAGCACTCACTTCATCTTATGTTTTTGTGAAAACATACACAATGAATGTATGGCAATCCTTCTTTTTGTTTTTTTCAATCACGCTAATCTCTAGTCTGGTTTGTTCTCTTTGGCCATCCGCTGATCACAACGCTGTGCAGTTGTGCTGTACTGCGGCTGGAACACCCTGCAACTATTGATGCACAAGAAGTCTGGAACAGCACGCACACACACAAATGATAGTAACATGGTCCATGGTGTTACTTTGTCACATAGTGTGATTGACCAGAAGTGTTCACTATAACAATAACTAATCTAGAATCTCAAGTCTACAAATATAACATATATACTGATGGTAGTTATGATACGCTGTTCCCTGTGCAAGAGAATCGTATCTTGCACTGCTTGAAAAAGAATGGATTGAAGTGATCCAACACATACAGTCCACCTGGACACTCTTACCAAGCAAGGTCAAAGTGACCAAGATAGTGACTGTCCCATGGATCGCTTGACAACGTTGCAAGTTACATCTAGATGAGGCTTGTGAGTGCAGCCTGAAATGATGGATTGATGTCCAACATGCTTTCCTGCGCGTACTTCACCAAGGCCATGATGGTGGTCTTGTACTGACCAGTTGCCTTTGCTCCTATGCAAGCTTCTAAAGCTAAGGATAGATATATGCAAGAACAACCAAGATCCCAAGATATTCTGTTGAGTTGTCCAAAGTAAGTTATGTTTGGATGATGTGTTCATTCATCAGTCCTTTAGATAGCCATTCCGATACCACAGGAGCTGAGATAAGAGTACCAGCTGAAGCTGAAGCAATGTGCGTCAAACAAGCATGGTGCGCAACCTTCAGGTCCTGCAACTGATCAGCACTACGCTGTGTTGACAAACACAATACGCCTCACAAGAGCCAAGACTAGACACGATTATAATTATCTTTACACCTAATAATATACAATAGTCATAAGCCATAGCCAACAGCAGTCATAACAAATGAAAGAATCAGGACTCACGACTGATTGACTGACTATATAAACCAACAACACCAACAACACCAGCAACAACAGGTTCTCCTTGACCCTTGAGCAAATGGAATCTTCTGAGCAGGCAAAGTCAACGCAATCACGTTCCACCGACAGCAAGAGCTTCTTCGTTGAATCGCTAAGTTTCACAAGATCCTTCTCCACAGCCTTGCTTTTCTGCAAATAGGAAGACAGATCTTCCATTGAAGCCGCCGGAAGTTTGCCCAAAAATGACTGGAGAGAAGACGATAGCTTGGAAGCGTCTTTGTCATAGAATGCCATTCGCTTCTGAATGATATCTTGGGCAGCAGTCTCCAATTTTCTAGTGATGTCAAAAAACACAGCTGCATTTGGGAAGGTGTGCACAAACTCCGAACATGTTGATAGTTCTTCATAAAGCTGATGGAATATTGGTTCAGCCGTGGATTCCGAATCAGAGTTTGCACTGAATCGTTTCACCATCTTCTCAATCTGATTGAACGCTTTCAACAAGCCTCGCACTTTTTCTCGGTCATCTTGGTTCTCAAGAGCAACTGCAAATGATTTGCCTTGGCAACAATTGCACAGAGTTCGTTGTGTGTTTGCACATTGAGCTAAGCAGGCTATTCATACTACCAGAAAACTAAACAATAACTTTCAACACAATCGAGATACATCCAACAAGGATCCACTTTGACAAGCTTAGCAATTGCACATTGGATGACACCTTCTCTTGAACGCTGATTTGTTGAACAGTTGAGCACACAGACTCAGCTCGCCCAATGTCATCTGCAGTGATTGCATTCATATCGGAAGCCTGCAATATGAAGTCTGACTCTAACTTTATTTTGACTTTCATAATGTGTGGATTATTAACTATCACTATCACTATGACTATAACATATTATAACTCTGACTGAGGTTTTAAACTAGTTTTAGTTTCGTCTTGATGGCCTTTGCCAAAAGCTTTCCAAGAACTTGCTTCTGTTCATGAAGTTCATGTTGAAGCTTGGAGCCACTCATGGATGCGAGAATCTCTCCAAATGAGTCAAATGTCTTGACAAATTTGGAATCAATGGAAGACATTGTAGAGCAATACTCATTCACATACGTTGTGAACCCTTTGGAGCAGTTGAAGATGTCCACAATGTTCATTGATCCACCGGCCGACTTGGAGAACAAAGCGTTGATGTTGACCATTTGCTTCTGCAGCTCAAGAACAGCTCGAACAAGAAGCGCTGAATCTTCATCAGTCATGTTGCTAGACGCCGGCTGTGTCAACTTCTCAAGCTTTTCAACAAATGTTACTGGAAGAGGTGAGCATGTCCCTGGCTGAGCTGAGTGCAACGTCAAGGATGCGGAAAACCAACTCAATGCAGTTTCTGTGGCATAGACTTTGCAAGCGAACCTGATCTTCTCAGCAAACTTGGCCTTTACATTGGCAACAAAGGTTCGCAAGGCGTCACTGCAAGTTTTTCGAGAAGTTGACTTGAACACATCAACTGCTGCATTCAGCTCATCAAAGATCTTTGAGGTATCAACTTTACAGCGTTCGGTTTCTTCACATAAGCCATCCAAAGCTTCCAGAACTTTGTTGAACTGATCAACAATCTGGTCATCAGCTGATTGATGTTCAGCAACATCCAATGCCTTGACAATCAGCGTCTTGCCCTGGCTAATTCCGCAAAAGATAGCGGCAAGACCATTGTCAACATGGATCTTTTCCTGAGCAGATTCCTTGAGCTGGGTCGATGCAGCTTTCACTTCAGAACTGACAAACTTTGCAGGGTTCAAGATGGTGTTGATCTTCTGCACTGTCAGCTTGATGGGACGAGAGTCAATGAAGTCTCTGGAAAGCAGCTCAGAGAATAGATCCCGAAGTGAGTTCAATGAGGCAGCTGAATCTGCATTCTCATCAAAGCTAACCTCACAGGAAACAAAACATCATACAGTCTAAACACTTACTCCATCCAAATATTACAATAAAGGAAAAAAAGCACAATTCAACATTTAGACTAGATGCTTTGTTCGCTGGTATAGCCCTCAACAGCTTCTGCACCACTTCGTTCACAAGCACCTCAAAAGTGTCCACTCCCACTCCCTCTGAGAATGTCTCAAGCAAAGACTTCCGAGTAGTAGTGCACATAGCTACCCAATCAGAGTACTTCAAGTGTGACATGAAAGCTGCTTTGAATGCTCTCTGAAAGACGTTCTGATTGATCTCCCAACCAGACTCCTTACAATCCTTCAGCTTTTCAACAGCCTCGTTGTCTTCAATGGAACTGCTGAGTAGCCCTTGAACTATTGACTGCATTCTGGTGATATCAGCGACAATAGCCTCAAGGCCGTCTTGCAAAGCTACCGGAGTGTCTCGTCTTCGTCCCAGGCTTTTGATTTTGGTCTTGATGGACTGGCACAAGCCTGACATTTCCTTGCTTGCCTTTTTCAAGGACTCAGTAGTAGCTGAATCTGTCTCAGGTACATCGGATAGTGCAGAGCTTTTCAATTTCGTGAGTTTGTTGGAGTAGTCTGCCAAAACCTCTGCGTCAGCTGATTTCAATGTGGTGCCCTCAGAAGGACCAGGTGTCTCAGAAATTTCTGAAATCTCTGCAGCCTTTCTTTTTTTTGTTTTTCTTTCTCGGTCCCTTCCTGCTTTGCCTTCTTTTCCTTGGCATGACTCTTGGCTTGCGCCCTTGCTGCTGCCTTGGCAGCAGCCTTGGTAGCTGCTTCAGCTTTGGCTGCTGGCAAAGCGAACATCAAAGATTGATCCAACGAGCGGTGTTGTGCAGTGCCATCATCTTTGTCTTCGTCTGACTCCTCTTTTACTGCTTCCAGCAGCTCATCCTTCACCTGATCACTTACAGTGGTGGGAGCCTGTACATCAGTCAAGGACTTCTGAGGTTGGTGTTGCACGGCCGGTGATGGCTTGGTGAAGAAATGCCAGAGAGGCAAGTCTGAAATCTCCAGTGCCTCACGATGTGTTGGCATGGTCTGCTTCAAAGCCGCTGAATGCCATGATGATGCCGCGTCTTCACTAACTTCCATCTCCCTTGAATACAGCTCCACATTTCTGTTGACAGTTTTATCAACTGCCTGTGTCCGTTTGAAGTATCCCTTTCTTCCTGTTCTGACATTGATTCCTTCAATGATCTTGCCGTCAATCTCTTCCTTCACAATGTCCTCCTGCTTGATAGTAACTCCAGGGTTGTCCTCTTTGAACTGGCTCAATTCAACGAAGTATTCCTCAGGCATCTCAAGGGTTGCACGAGTAGCCTTGTTGACATTGATGGAAGTCTTTGGAATTGCCAACCCATGGTCATGTCGGAAACGACCATGAGGATTCTGAACTCGCTGTTCAACATAGCCAGCTCGCGATGCCTTGGGACAGCATATTTTAGTATTCTATATCTCACTGCGCTGTACTTGTTGTACTGTTTTTGTTGTACTATCCAGACTATATAGTGTACTATACATTGTACCCC